AGGTTGGAGATCTCTGCTCTAAGATAAAGTCCAGTGGAGAGCACCAAGCATGGGATCAAAGCTGTCCTCTTGATATATTTTTTTTGACCCCTCCATGAACTAGGCCACCCGCAGGCTTAATGTAGATAAAAATCTAAGAAGAATCTGCTTTAAATGAACGTCTGTGGAGACGTCTCAGTCATCCAGGTCATGGTTGTCCCAAAGGTGCTTTTTTTTCAAGAGGCAACTGGACTTTCTTTGTGTTTTTTTTTCTTTGAAGGCGTTTTGCTTCTCCTCCTCTGAGCTGAAGAAGCTTCTTGGATGAGAAGCGAAATGTCCTCAGAGAAAAACCAGAAAGCCCAGTTGTCTCTTAGGGAAAAAAAAAAGCACTTTGGGGAGTTTAAATGAAAGACAGCCCCAATGATCCTCCATCATCTTGTGGTATTTTTGTCATAGCCCTCACCGACTGCCCCTCAGCCGATGACAAAGAAGAGGGGGAAAGGCAAGAGTGAACGTGCATGTGTGTTTTTTACACACACGCACAGGCAAACACACAATGTCCCAAAAGAACAATTTGTGTAGTTTTAAGATTTTTAAAAGCGATGGATGTATGCATCTGAAAGAGATAAATCTCCAAGAAGCGGTAAATTGTTCGAACAGCCACATAGCTATCACCCACTTACATTTAGTTTATTCTCTTGTTTCATAAAATTCACTGCTACTAGATGAAAACAATGACCCTGAAATCGTTTCCAGCTCCGGCCCATTGAATCGTAAAACTAAACATTTGCAGAGCCTATGAATGCACCCAATAAAACCCACACCTGACTAGTTTTATTGGTCAGCCAGCGAATCCTCCCCAAAGAAGACATTTATGTGAGGTAACTTTAATTTATTTGCCCCCTTGTGTGTTGCTTCAGACATATATAGTTTATATTGGGTTTCTCAGACCGTGTGTAGGGAGCCCAGGAGTTGATTTCGGAGAAGGAATGTAGAGGCTTTTGTGGGAGGAAATCAACTTAACCAAAAACTGGAATCCAGAGAGGTGGGAGAATATTCCAGAGACGCATAAAAACCCATTGTGGTACAGGTAAGCTTCAACTTACAACCATTTGTTTAGCACTGAAAAAAGTGACTTTGACCAGTGGTGGGATTCAAAAAATTTTACTACCAGTTCTGTGGGCATGGCGTGGCTTGGTGGATGTGGCAGAGGAAAGATACTGCAAAATCTCCATTCCCTCCCCACCCCACTAACCCGCTTTCCAGCTCCGTTCTCCTTTGCAGGGCAACAAAAGGAGACCCAGCCGATCAGCTGGGACTCGGGAGGCAGAAAATAGATGGGGGCAGGGCCAGTCAGAGGTGATATTTGCCGGTTCTCCAAACTACTCAAAATTTCCTCTACCGGTTCTCCAGAACTCGTCAGAACCTGCTGAATACCACCTCTGATTTTGCCACATTTTTCACACGACCATTGCAGTATCTCCATGGTCACCTGGTCAAAATTTGGATGGCAATTTCTGACCGTTGCCGTGTCCAGGGATCACGTGATCAATTTTGGCGACTTTCTGACAAGCAAAGTTGATGGGGAAGCCGGATTCAGTTAGCAACCGTGTTGCTAAATTAACAACTGCGGCGATTCACTTAACAACGCTGGCAAGAAAGGTGGCCAAATTCACTGAACGAACTGTCTTGCTCAGCAACAGAAATTCTGGGCTGAATTGTGATCCTAAATCAAGGACTACCTGTATAAGAAGGAGGGAAGAGAAGACACAGGCAGTCTGATGTCTATGGAGATTCTCAGTCATCCAGGTCAATGTTGTCCCAAAGGTGCTTTTTTCAGGACTTTCTTGTTCTTCTTTGAAGATGTATCGTTTCTCATCCAAGAAGCTTCTTCAGCTCTTCTCGGAGCTTCTCAGAACTGAAGAAGCTTCTTGGATGAGAAGTGAAATGTCTTCAAAGAAAAATAAGGAAGTCCAGTTGCCTCTTGAAAAAAAAAGCACCTTTGGAATATGAGTAGACTTGCAACATTTTGTTATTATAGCCTATCAGAAGTCCTCAATTTTAAACCAATCGTTTAGCAAACATTCAAAGTTATAATGGACCCCCCCCTCCAAAAAAGTTACCACCAGGTTCCAAAGTTCTGATGTCTATCCTCCAGTCTTATGACTACACTTTGGGCACGTGGCAACAAGCCAGCATTTACGGCAGTTTGCAACACCCTGCAGTCCAATTTATGACATTTTTGCAGAAACCTTCAGGTTTTCAGCAAAAACCGCGGGCTCGCCAACAATGGGCTCACTGAATGACCACAAAAGTTTGGAAAATCAGGTTGGTCTTGTGTGGGTGACCCAATTTACGTCCATTGTGATTTATGACTGGAATGGGAAGGGTCCATTATGGTTGTAAGTTGAAACTACCTGTATCTCACGAAAGCATTATTCCAATTGTCCTACAGTGTTGGCTTTTCCTCTTGATTCTGCTTTTCTTTTTTTTAAACTAAAATTTTGTTGTGGCCTGAAAAAGTGTGAAAACCATAAGCTTTCGCCATATGGTAAAAACATCAGGTGAATGACAGCTAAAAACTGTGCGACCAAATAAATATGGATTAATAATAATGAAAATCTATGGAAAAAAGAAATTTTCTGTTATACCAATCATGATTTGAATCCTTGGAGAAATACCTAAAGGTTTAATATTGGAGGGAAAATTTGAATTTATCAGATACAAACACCCTAATTTTACAACAAAAATTACGTGGCCTGGAACTGCCTGAATCCTCAGCTCACACTTTAATAATTCTTAGGTCCTTGGTGGACTTCAATTGTTAAGTTTACTCACCTGCCACTGAGTATGAATCTCACTGTAGATTATCCCCACACAATAATAATACAGGTAGTCCTTGACTTATAGCAGATCATTTAGTGAAGCCTTTGAAGTTGTAACAGCACTGAAAAAAAGTGACTTATGACCATTTTTCACACTTGTGACCATTGCTGCATCCCCACAGTCACGTGATTTACATTCATATGCTTGACAACAGGTTCATATTTATGAGTACTGTAGTATCCTGGGAACATGTGATCATCTTTTGTGACCTTCTGACAAGCAAAGTCAATGGGGAAGCCAGATTCACTTAACAACCATGTTACTAATTTAACAACTGCAGTGGTTCACTTAACAAATGTGGCAAGAAAAGTCATAAAATGGGGCAAAACTCACTTAACAAATGTCTTGCTTAACAACAGGACCTTTAGGCTCAATTGTGGTCATACATCAAGGACTACCTGTACATAGAGAAGCACAGTTTGCTCTCACACTTCCTGCAACAGGTTAACAGATAACAGATAATCAGAGTTGGAAGGGACCTTGTAGGTCACCTAGTCCAACCCTGCCGCCCAAGCAGAAAACCCTACACCATTACTGAGATGACGGTCCAGTCTCTTCTTGAAAGCCCCCAGTGATGAAGCTCCCACAACTTCTGAAGGCAAAGCTGTTCCATTGGTTGATTGTTCTCACTGTCAGAAAATTTCTCCTTATTTCCAGGTTGAATCTCTCCTTGTTCAGTTTCCATCCATTATTCCTTCTGTGGCCTTTGGGTGCTTTAGAAAATAGCTTGACTCCTTCCTCTCTGTAGCAGCCCCTCAAATATTGGAAGACCGCTGGTCCTTCTCTTCACTAGAGTAGCCATGCTCAGTTCCTGTAACCATTATTCACATGCCTTAGCCTCCAGTCCCCTAATCATCCTGATTGCTCTTCTCTGTACTTTTTCTAGAGTCTCAACATCTTTTTATAGCGTGATGACCAAAACTGGATGCAGTACTCTAGGTGTGGTCTTACTAAGGCTTTATAGAGGGGTATTAGTATCTCACTTGATCTTGATTGTATCCCTCTGTTCATGCAATTTAGGATTGCATTAGCTTTTTTGGCAGCGGCTGCACACTGCTAGCTCATATTTATCTGGTTGTCCACTAAGACTCCAAGATCCCTTTCACAGTTACTGCTATTGAGCCTGGTTTCACCCAGTCTATATGTGTACTTTTGGTTTTTCTTGCCTAAGTGTAGGACTTTACTTTTCTCTACACTGAATTTCATTTTGTTAGATATGGCCCAGTGTTTTAGTCTGTCAAGATCCGTTTGGATCTTGAGCCTATCTTCTTGTGTGTTAGCTATTCCTGCCAGCTTAGAATCATTTGCAAATTTGGTAAATTCCCCTTCTAGTCCCTCATCTTAGTCGTTAAGGAAGATATTGAAGAGTACTGGGCCTAAGACGGAACCTTTTGGCACCCCACTGCTTACTTCCCTCCATGTACACTTAGACCCACTAAGGACTACTCGTTGAGTCGGTCTGCCAGCCAGTTGCAAATCCATCTAGTGGTGGTGCTATCTATCCCACTTTTTTTGTAGCTTACTAAGAAGTAGGTTGTGGTCTACTTTGTCGAATGCCTTGCTGAAATCTAACTATATTATGTCCACAGTATTTCACTGGTGTCAACAGTATTTCGCTGATTCATTGTCTCGTGCTGCAACAATATTTTTCTTTTCTAATTTCCACTGCAAGCCTCTCTAAATATATTCATGACATTTAAAAAAAAAAAAGGAACTGCAATAAAATGAAAATCTAAAGAATGTTTTAATGTTCTGAGTAAATCTACTCTTCATTTGGGCATTTGGATCAGTTTTTTTTTCCCCCTCAAAAATTCTTCAGTTTTTCTGCAAAACGTGAAGATTTACCCAATCTCCAGAAACTTTACTCCTGATGGAACCTGCTCATGCAAATTTTCTTTAACCAAACAATGGCATTTCCATCATAAATAGGCTAGGTGGGTATGTGGTTGTGTAAGGGTGATCTAATTGTCATTGTTAACTGTTTTATATTGATTTTGCTTTTCCTTCCCAGCGTAGGTGTCACGTATTGTTACAGTCAGTTTATTTATCCTTTCATATGTTGCCCAGAGTTGCTGGTGAGGAGGAAGCCTTAGAAATAGATTAAATAAATAAATCCTAACCCTGGAATTATTATTCATTTATTTTATTATTTCTTTGCATAAATGACAGTAGCTATTTTCCCTTTGCACCACGGTAATTCCAGAGGAGAGGCTAACAAGGGGATTGCAACCATAAAACTCGGGTTTATAAAGCTGTAAAATCATCTCATTACAACTGAAATCCTTAATCCTAAATCAATTTGAGTCTTTGGGAGGAGGATGACCCTGGAAAGATAAAAGAGAGAGAGAGAGAGAGTCCTCCAGGAGGATCACAGAGGTTGGAGGATCAAGGGCACGTACATACCTGGTGAGCTAGGATAGTGTCATAGAGTTGGTCTTCCGATATCCCAGGATTCTCTTCGCTTGCAGATTCAGGCCCCACAAAATCCGCCCGCTGGTCATTGAGCCTCCGGGCCTGGATTGTGGCCACCATGTCAAAAAACTCTTCAGCCTGGAGGGAAGTCAGAGAAGAGAAAAAGACTGTGCAAAAGGAAGAAGAAGGAGAAGAGGAAGCGGAGGAAGGAGGAGAAGACGGAGGAGAAGGAGAAGAAGGAGGAGGAGGAGGAAGAGGAGGTGGAAGGGGTGGAAGAGGAGGAAGAGGAGGAGGAGGAGGAGGAAGAGGAGGAGGAGGAGGAAGAGGAGGAGGAGGAACAGGAGGAAGAGGAGGAGGAGGAGGAAGAGGAGGAGGAACAGGAGGAAGAGGAGGAAGATGAGGAAGAGAAGGCGGAAAAAACAAAAACAACAACATTGGATGAATTAATGCCCCACAATTATCAAGTTTCCCCCCTTTTCTGATTTTGCGCAATCCACGACCCATCAGTTCTCCAGAAGGTTGGATCTGCACATTATAACAAAGCAAAACAACAAGCCACGTTAAAACTTAACAAGATTTGTGTGTGGTAGGAAATGCTGCTGCTGCTGCTGCTGCTACTACTACTACTACTACTACTACAATTACTAATCCCTGTGTGTTGACCTGGATAAGCAATATTGTAAGAACTGAGACAAGGCATCCGATGACTCGCAGCGGGAACTGCCCCTGAGGGAACCCGGGATAGGGAATCGGAGCCACGCATTCCTGAACAGCCATGCACTGAGGAGGGCCCTTCTTCCCTCAAAGGCACCCAGACCAGACCAGTTGTGAGGCCTCCGCCTGCCTTTCTCTCCTCCAGCTCTCCTCCCTCCCATCCCTTGCAAGGAAGGGGTGTGGATCTCCAGCAACTCTCCCCAATTCTGTTTGTCCCTCTGCACAGCACAACCACCTGGAAAAAAAAAAAATCTATCCGAATTTGGAGCGAGTTGTAGCCTGCTTGGCTGGGCCTGCAAGAACGACAGTCGGGTGCGGCAAGGCCCACAGCCCTGGCCAGCTACGTACGAAGGTTTTGTCAGAAAGGCCGGAGATGGAGTTGACCCAGAGAGCTTGTGATTTTTCAGAAGTGGTTTGGCCATTTCCTCCTCCATGGGGGCTCGGAGAGAGACTGTCAGGTGCAAGCAAACCAGGAAGAGGAGTGGAGTTTGAGGCGCTAAAATTTTATTATTGTATGCTAGCACTACACAAAGAATTTGATCTACTAGCGGTCAAGGCAAACTGGCACTAGACCAGGATTTCAAACCTCCTTACAAAGAAGCCCCTTCAACAAAACTAGTTTCTGCAGAGTGTTTGTGTGTGTGTGTGTACATTTCCTTGAAAAATGGGAGTCCCTTCTGTTTCTGGGCTTCCTAAAAGTTGGACATTTTAAGGGAAACGACCTTTCTCAGCATGGTTTCCAGAAAGAAATATAGAAGAGCGAGTTAGACATTTCTGAGTTTTTAATATTTCCCTGTCTCCTAAAGGGACCATCATTGTGTCCTTGGAGGTTGTTGCAGGGCCCAGGTTGACATTTACAGTGAAGATTATTTACAATCAATAACAATTGGCATTAAAAATAAAACATTTGTTGTGTTCCTCTGTGGTAGTTGTGTGGTATGTGCTATGGTACCCAAATATCAGGAGGGGTTTTATTCAAAGAGATTAAAACTACCATTCATTTAGCAACCATTTGAGTTACAATGGCACTGAAAAATGTGATTTACAGCCAGTCCTCAAACTTTATTTATTTATTTTATTTGGTTTGTCAATTGCTTACAAGATAATAGGTACAAGTAAAAACATAGTTATGAATACATGAACACATATAAGAAAAATAAAAGAAACAATAGGACAGGGACGATAGGCACGTTGGTGTGCTTATACACGCCCCCTACAGACCTCTTAGGAAAGGGGTGAGGTCAATAGTAGACAGTCTCTAAGGTTAAAGTTTTTGGGGTTTGGGGAAGAAATCACAGAATCAGGTAGAGTATTCCTGACACTGACCACTCTGTTGCTGAAGTTGTATTTCCTGCAATCAAGTTTGGTGCGGTTAACCTTGAGTTTGTATCTATTGTGTGCTCTTGTGTTGTTATGGTTGAAGCTGAAGTATTCATTGACAGGTAGGACATCGCAATGTATGATTTTATACTTAGATGCGTTGACAAGAGCAGGCCTGATCTCATGGGGGTCTGTTATCCCCCCACCCGGGATTACCAGGAGCATAAAGTCACAAACAGATTGTACATAAAGTCACGAACAGACATGGGCCCCCTCATGGCTCCAAACACTACCCAGGAGCACCGCGCTCTGCACCAGTTGTAGCTTCTGCATAGTCTTCAAGTATAAGCCCCAGTAAAATGCATTGCAATCATCCAAGTGTGAGATGACCAGGGCTTCAGTGACAAATCTTCACTTTTTCTGCTTGCTTGATTAGCCACCAAATATACAAGTGTTGTTCAACTAAACCAGAGGTCTCCAAAGTTGGCAAGTTTAAGACTTGTGGACTTCAACTCCCTGAATTGCCGAGCTAACAGGACTGGAGGAGGAATTCTGGGAGTTGAAGTCCACGAGTCTGAAAGGGGTCAAGTTTGAAGACCCCTGATTTACTAAACTATCCTATTCCTATTCCTATTCCTATTCCTAATTCTATTCTATTCTATTCTATTCTATTCTATTCTATTCTATTCTAT